CAGAATTCAGCGACAGATAAAAAAAAAGATGGCGCGAATCGTGTAGCATTTCGAATGAAAGGGAAACGAATGCAGAATTCATCGACGAAGAAAAAACTGAAGACGATGCCAAGAGGGCACTAAGTTGTATCTTCGTTAATGATAGTCGCGTTATCACATGTAGCATATCGAATGAAAAGAAAAAGGAAGACATGAATCAATATCAATGCTGACTTACTGAATCGACATCCGGCAATACGCCTTAAAATTACAAAACGAAGACTCTTGATTTCCTTTGTACCGTCAACGAGTGCAGTATCAGTTCACAGTCATCTCAACAACAGCATCCAAAATCATCTAGGCAATATTTTCAGAACGAGTTTCAAATCTCAACAGTTTCCATTTTGTCGTATCATTACTTCAAAATATCGACATCAAAAAACGTTTGCGTTTGATTTATCAATTTTTCACTTTTGGAAACTGAGCTTCATCAAAAATGGATTTATTTATTTCTCTGACTTTGTAATTCAACGAGTCATCAGACGTTTTCCATCATTAATCATATGTTTGAATCTTCAGACCAAACTCTGCGAGATTTAAAACATAACTTACGACATCTTTCACATTTTTTCACGTTCTTTGATAATAGAGGTAAGTGTTCTCAACTATAAAAATTTTATATCAGTGTTTCACGTACCTGTCGCAGTAGCAGACGAAACGTTCGGTACTACAAGTCCAATTCAAAATTATGAAAGACTTTTTCAAATCAGAATTTTATCAATCATAGTATTTTGTTGAAACAGTGCGATAGTTAAACGACACCGAGTCACCATCACAAGAATTCTATAAACATAACAAATGAGAAATATGCTCACAAAAATATTTGGGAGTCATTCAAAATTTCATCATAATAGTAATTGTGATATTCAAGTGATATTTGAATTCTCCATAATACTAGGTATAATAACCCCAGAGTAATGTGTCATTTGAATCAGCCAATAGAATACGTTTGTCATCAAATTCACTCAATCCAAGGTTGTGAGGCCCTTCTGGCTTCCGAAAATGATCAATAGCGATCACCATAAATAATTCAAATGAATCATATGTTTTAGTATACAATGTTTTTTTTCATTATTGAATTTCATCACCGGTTTACTTTTGAATGAAACGTAGAGATATGTCAAAGGTGGATCATCAAATTTCCATATTTTTTTCTCAAGATCTATACAACTCAACATATGCTTCTCATCACACGAAAACGACAATGACGACGAAACGATAACGAATAAACGCACGTTTCCCATTTGAAACGCTACGCTCCCGTTGAACCGACATGTCTTTTTTCTTGAATGATGTATTTTGAGACTCGAACGTTGAATCATTATCGAACGTTGAAACATTACAGCCTCGAATGGAGCAGTGTTTTATGTTTGCTGCTATAATCTTCACATAATAATTAGAACAATCGGGACTGTAGTCATTGTCATATGATAAAATTAATTATAATGTATGAAGGCTATTTTCTGGGTATTCTGGCCGAAGACTGCAGGTTTTCATGCCTAACGTTTCGTCTATTTCTGTGGGAGACATTTCCAAAGGAGATGTGGTAGCAGTCGCCATAAGCTGGTGCTCTGGTTCTTGTTGCATCTGTCGCATTGACTACTACACACATCGGAAAAGTCTAGGAATATTTTTTAAAATGGCAATAATTTTTTTTAGATCTCTTCAGGGAAAAAAAAGTTGACGGGTGATTATTAAACGAATGTAACTTACAACAAAATTTATTAAATGGTCAAAAATACTGAGTGCGCATATAAGCAAAATTTAGTATGTTATAAAAATATCCCTAGACTTTTCCGATGTGTGTATTTTCGTATTGGACGCTCTATTAAGATCGTTCTCAATTATATTTACCTGTTCATGTTCGTGTACCTCCAAGGACAGGTAGCCAGCTTTTAATATTTTTTGGCTGACTACCTGACCTTGGAGTCATAAGTAGGGGGTTACCATTTGAAAATATAAAGTTGGGATAGCTGGGGCAAGGAGGTAAGTGAAAACAGCTATCACATTATTATATCTCATCCTCCCTATTATATAAGTTGTTGTCAGCGATTTCTTATATTTTTTTGGTGGCTCAGATATAGCCATGTAACTTTTCAATTCATTCTTCCTCTTGAAGATGATCACTTGGTGACTGGAACACGTGTCGATGTGTTAAAATTAACGATTTGGTGTTGGGAATAAACTCCAGAAATAGTCAAATATTTAAATTTATTATGAGTCCTCATCGATAAATTACCATTTTTGAATGAAGGAAACTGCATCAATTGTTATTCCATGTCTTGTAGTAGGCTTATTTCGATTATTATTCATTTGTAATTCTATCATTCAAAAATGGTTTAACAAATCGAAACCGGTCGTAACAAGTGAAAATTAGACAAAAGTTATTTTCTTTATCCTACATTCAGGTTGGAACATATTGTTTTTCATAAATGACTTCAGCAATCAATTGTTTGATCGGAGATATTACTCGTTGTAATCGATAGTACAGTTGATTCACTCGCAGTATTCCAAAATCTCATTGCATCACGTCTTCGTTGAGAAAGATTTGATCTTGCCCGCGGTATTGTAAATAACACTGTTATTAACATTCGTGACTCTGCTTCTATTATGACATAAGAATTATTCATGCTTGAATAAATACAAATGTCATTTCCAGAATTGTCATTGCATCCATCAGGTATGACTATTATAGTAACCTCACAAACTGAATGTCGTCAATTTGTTCATTTTTTTATCAATTTTCAAAAGTTTCAATTGCTTTTCTACTATTTTAAGGAAAAATAAATCAAAGGAATGAAGAATCTGTCTAGACGTTCTCATTATAAATGGTGTGACAAAATATTTTGCTACTTTGATTCGTACATTAGATTTTTACACATCACGATAACAATTTGCATTGGACTATCATAATATGATCATATGATTTTTATACAGTAGTGTATAAAAATTGTCATCGTTATTCTCTTTGTAAATCCTAGATGCATGGAGGCAGTTTCTGTCACTTTCCCCCAAAGCATAATCCGTTCGCAGCATATCTTCCAATATCTAATTCATGATTGAATGATTCAATCTACACGCAAAAAAAATCAACACATGGCGGTATTGACTAATTCAGATATCCATTTCTTTATGTCAATCATAGATAACTGAAAAGCAGTATAGATATTCTTTAGGTTTTTTATTTTTTTTTATAAAAAAAGGTTCTGACGCATTCCAAGGTCGTGCGTCATTGGTAAGTGTTTCAGAGAGAGACTTTAGTAAGTGGAAGAGAGAAACATGTGACGTAATCGATGCAGAGAAGGATGAAATTCGAAGAGCGTAGGCCCCCTTGAGACTCTGCTTCAGGCCTTCACCCCTGAGCCCCTTATCGCGCACCAGTCACGTGGTCCTAGTGATTATCGGCAGCTGAGTGAAATTCAATTAAAAAAACTTATCGAAATGAGATTTGAACGCAGGTCGCCCGCGTGATAGACTCTGTCCTTAGCCTCGACATCAACGTAGGAAGTTCTATGTGATTGCGAATTGTTGATATTCATGACGGTTGTTTTGTCGGCTGTCGACGATTCAAAGTGATGAATGAAAACCGAGAAGGGTGAACTGAGTATCGGAGAGATTCAGAGAGCGAGGTTTAATTATAAAATTAAAACATGTAGATGAAAATATTGGGAGCGCAAAAGTGATATGTTAATAATAATGTACGATGAATCAGATTGAAGAAAAAAAACATGGCGGTGGGCATTCAGTGGAGCATACAGGGTGTGGAAAAAATACATCATTTCAGAATAAAACATGGTATCGATGTATATACAGGGCGTTTCAAAGTACATCATTCACGAAAAAAATATGTTTGTTCAACGGGGAAATGGCATCCAAAAGTGTCGGGGAGTTACGTGTTGTGGAGTTACCGTTTGATGGTGGAGGAATTGGGAAGCGAAGTATTCGACAATGAAATTTCAAAATACATTGTTTTGCGTACGTTTAGACCGTTTTACATGCATTTCTACCGTTTTGCGTGCGTTTCGACTGTTTTGCATTGAAACATTCACACATGAAAAAATACAGGGTGTTCCATTTGAAAAAGTTGAATTATGTCGGTTTGAAAATGATTCATATACTGGGTGTTCTATTTGAAATAATATAACTTTGTTTGGTCACGCTCGGCTGAATCTCCCAGTATGCAAGAAAATAATTTTGAAAGGTACTATTTATCGATATAACTGCAGAAAAATCGAACAGTTCAAAAAATTGTTTCCTCTGATAGCAATGGACGGGAATCTTGTTGACTCACCGAAAGTTTTTCAGAGGTTAGGAGGTAGATATTTCTGTCGATAGTGATAAGTCATTCTGTTCTTTCTATGACTAATTCAAATAGAGAATACCTCGCATTGTTGAGTAATGAAATCAATGAAATTTTCCAGTGGTGCCTGCATAGTTGAATCTGACAAAATTATTTCAGCAATGCTAGGAATCGGACGTTGAAAGGCGGGATCTCGTTAACCCTTATCTCGTACAAGTTTAGACTCTTGAGATGAATAATCGCATATCAGTTCGCACCTGTTTATGTTACTTTGCAAGCTTTCCGTTGAGTTTTTGAAATCACTTACGAACTATAAAATATTTTTAACAATTTTAAAGTAAAAGTTGGAAACTCAACTTTGCCTTGTTCGAACATGAGTATTCCAACGAATGAATAATTTCAACCAAGAAACCTTGAAGAAACATTCCACAGAATGGTTCATAGTGGATAAAAAAACGATAGTAGATGCGAAGTTATAGGCTGTGTACGTGATATCGCTTATGACAATTTCCACCAATTTTTCCATAGGATTTCACAAATATTGCCTGGTGTTCAATGCACCTCTGTATTTCCATACAATGCATCAAATACACAACAAGAATATACTTCAAATTTTCAAATGAAATCTGGTATTTTTGATGAATACTTTCATTACACTCACCCGTGCCGCAGTTATTGCTTGATTTGTGAGTGCCATAGTTGCCAAAGTAACGAATAGAGCAAATGTATTATTGAATAGATTAAAAGCCATGAAAACAGCTTTGATATAGGCTCCCCTCCGTAACATACCTTCGGCGCAGTAGACCAGTCTCCTCCTATTGCATAACTGATGTTATGCAATAGTCGGTTCGTTCGGAGACGTAGTGTGTCTTGCTCAACGCAAACTAAGTCTTCATATTGTTGATATACATTTTTTAACTAATAACAGTCTGTAATTGTTTGTGCTCATAGGTGGTTTATTTTTGATTTAGGAGTATCTGGGATTTTAACGGATTCAATTAGGAATATTTGGGATATTAGGAAAATTAACCTTCTCGTTTTCCTTTATACCTGTATATGGTTGTAAACCATATACTTAAACAAATCTTTGCAAATTCTGTAGTTTGAGTTTTTCACTACTGTAATCATGTTCAAAGGAGCTGATATTCCATTTTGAATCATTCCTTGATAAAGATCTTGTCCAGAGATAGTGTTGATAGGGCACTCCAAAATATATGGTTAATTGTTTCTGGTTGTCCACATTCACAGTTTGGGCTGTTACTACTCCCAATTTTGAATAAATGATATTTACAACTACAGTGACCTGTTCTCATCGTGATGATACTGGCAATATGCCTTCGATCCATATTCGGTATTTTCGTATACCATGGTTTTGAAGGATATTCGGAAGGAAAATACATCTTCCCTTTGTTTTGTATCTCATTTTTCCATTGCGTATAAAATTTTGAATTAATTGTTTGTTTTAAATTTGGGATGAAATTCTTTTCAACCACCTCAATATCCAGTGGAAAATTTAGAGATGTACCAATTTTTGCTAGAGTATCCGCTTTTTCATTACCTTCGATCTGTTGATGTCCGGGTATCCAAGTAATTTCAAAAGTAATGTCATTTTGTAAGGCTAGTCTTATTCTGTCTTTGATATTCAATGTAATCGCAATTTATTGAGTCATCCGCATTTTGTATTCTTTCTTTTCTATTCTATTTTATGTATTAGTATAATTTCCGTGTCACATATACTTATATGCTCATTCAGTCTAGCTGAAATGGCATAATCAATCCCAGGAATGTTAATACCTATTCCCACTTTATTATTCTGTTTAGATGTATCTGTAAATACAAATGAGTATTCTTCCTTAACTTTCTCAACGAATAATCTAAAGTTGTTTTTATTTCGGGTATCAGTTCTTTTAAGCTTCGAGTACAATATTTTCAAAATCGATACATTTTTTATATGGTTCTATTAAATATGGTATTTGTTATTCGGTCCAATAAGTATTTTGTTGTTCGTGCAATATGTTAAGTAATTCCAAAATGTCAATTATGGGTGGTCGAAATTCTATGCGTTTGATTACGTATTTTTGTGCTAGCCATTGTCGTCTAGATTCTAAATTTATTACTCCCGCTTCCGCTATTATGGCGTTTATTGGAGTTGATTTCATGCACCACAGAATCACTCTGAGACCCTGAATCACTCTGAGACCCTGAATATATAATTGATCTAGCCTCTTCAGGTTTTTTTTCGTAAATGGTCTGAAAAATATGCTACCTTATTCTAAATGTGTCCTAACTATGCCATTATAAGCCATTATCATTGTTGTGAGGTCTGCTCCCCACCACGTTTTGCAAAAACTTTTTATAATATTCATTCCTTTATTTGCTTTATTGATTATGTACTCAATGTGTTTGTCCCATTTTAAATTGGATCTAATGATTTTTCCCAAATATTTTACCTCATTTCTTGTTTTTATTCGAGTTTGTCCTAGGTTAATATTTATTTTATCTCTACTATTTCTTTCTTTTTTGAAAATAACTGTTTCACATTTTTCAACTGATAAGTCAAGATCATGTTCTTCCATCCATTTGTTAATATTATTTAAAATATTGTTCATTTTATCTTTTATTTCAATNTAAGCACACCTAACTGCTATTGTCCGTGACACTATACATAAGTCTAAAGGACTGATATTTTCATTTGGATTTGATAGTCTTATACTCGCACCATTATTCAAAAATTACCATATTGTTGTTATCTATTGATGTTTTCAGCGTATTCCCATTATTATTTGCCGACATACTTCCCCACAACGGGTGATGTGCATTTAAATCACCCATCAAAATTATGTCTCCTTCTAATTGATTAATTATATTATTAAACAATTCTATTTCTAACCGATTGTTGGGAGGATTATATGTGTTAATTACATTTATGTTTCCGATTTTAATTACTATATCTTTCCTGTAATTCAATGTGTATATGAAAGTAGCTGTTTCAGGAGGACTTTCTTTCAGTTTGTGTCTGAAAGTTACTTCTTTGCATGATCTACACATACATGTATAGAGTTACTTATTTTCAAATTGAATACTTCCTTCCTTTCTTTGAAAGATTCCCTCATCCCTTTTTTTATGTCAAGATGAAGTAGTAGAAAGCCAAAAACTTTCTTTCCCAAAAATTAATCACTCCTAAAAATATAACCCCTTCAATTCATACATGATTATATATTTATTATGTCTTCACCATATCCGTCATGTCGATTTTGTCTAATGATATTGTAATTTTTTATGTTTATTTTTTCGGTGTTGTTTGAGCCATGTTTCATTCAGAAGTATGACTTGTGGACAATTTTTTTGTATATTATGAATAAGATAATGATAGTTCATATTGATAATTCTTATATTCCACTGAATAATTTTCATGTTTTCAGGGTTTCCCTGTCTATCGAATGCTTAATAAAATTCAGGTGAGTCCAGGTCTCTATATTGACTATTTTTTTCGTACGATTGAACTAATTCAATTATTTTTGTTTTTGCCAGTCTCGGTAATTTTGTAAAGTTTTCATAGTTATTTATTAAATTCTTTTCTTCATTGTCTGTATTTGTTTTCTTTTGTCTTTCATATTCCGTGCATAGTCTGTTATTTGATTTATGTCCATTACTTTGACAAAATAGACATTCAATTGTTGTACAGTTTTTATATGTTTCATCGTCTTCATGTTGTTTGGTACAAGAAAAACATTTCCTTTTTCCTTTGCAGTTTTTTTTAATATGCCCGTATACTATCGAATGCTTAATAAAATTCAGGTAAGTCCAGGTCTCTGTATTGTCTATTTTTTCGTACGATTGAACTAATTCAATTATTTTTGTTTTTGCCTGTCTCGGTAATTTTGCCAAAGTTTTTATAATAGTTCTTTATTATATTTTGGTTGTCATTGTCTGTATTTGTTAAATTTAATCTGTCGCACTTTTCATTCATTATGTAATTTAAAACTGATCCATTTATCGGTTGAGGTACTCTACCGTCCGGGTTTAAAAAATGTCATTTATTTCTTTTCTATTATAACCTGTATTTCCCATTCTGTTATTATTATTCTTATTTCCCATACTTTGAGCATTTGTTCGTTTTGCTTTTTGTGTATTTTCTGTATATACTTCCTTACGTTGTTCAACTGAAATTTGGTTATTAATTATATATCTCTTTGGTAAAGATGGAAATTCATGTGTATTTTGATTATAAGGAATAACTTCCTTTGACTGCTTCGAAAAAGGAAATATTTTCAAAAGTCTTTTTTTCCCTTATTATCTTTTGTCTTTCATATTCCGTGCATAGTCTGTTATTTGATTTATGTTCATTACTTTGACAAAATAGACATTTAATTGTTGTACAGTTTTTATATGTTTCATCGTCTTTATGTTGTTTGGTACAAGAAAAACATTTCCTTTTCCCTTTGCAGTTTTTTTTAATATGCCTGTATAATAAACAATTGAAACACTGAGTTACTGGAGGTACATATGAGGTCGTTACGTATGTCAAAAGGCAAATATCTATACCTACACCTTAGGTATTATTGTTCCTTTAAAAGTTATCAATATGGTGGATGCTGGTACATAATTTATTTTTCCATTTGTTGTAATTCTTCTATTCATTTTTTTAACTTTTACTACCTTGAATGGACTCTTTGTCATATTTTTTAATTCTTCTTCTGTAAAAAATATGGATATTCCTATTACTATTGCTTTGCACGTTACATGACTATATGGTACATACGCATTATAACCCTTTTCTCTCAGTCTTTCATTGTTTACCATATTATTTGCACTCCCTTTATTATTAAATTCTATTCCTACTTTGTTTCTATCATTTATTTTAATTTAATATTCTCCAATTCAAGATCACATACATCTTTGGCTATTTCTAAATGAGAAAAAGGTCTCAAATTTCTCACTTCTGATGTAGATTCAACAACTACTATAAATAGGCCGTTACCTTTATCACTATACAATGGTATCTCGTCCCACTATCATTATTTATTTCTGTACTTTCAAAATGTACCTAGTCTACATTTTCAAAATTACGTGTCTGTGATTGTAATCCAGAAATTCCCAGATTGAATCCCAGAAAACTTTGAATTTCACTATCAACACTATCCCTACTCATGGAATCTTCGTTATCTATATCACCGTATAGAAGTAATATGTACAGTGTCTATATGCAATTTTTTGGGGGAAGACTCGTCTTCCCCACCCTCTC